GGACTGTCCTGCTCTTCCTTGATACCCATTTGGGTTGGAGCAGCAGCTACACGCAGGAGATCAGACTGTGGTGTTTGTGGCCAGGTTTTCACAGGAGCTTAGCGATCAACGTGCACTCTTTCAGAATTCTGGTTTTCATGTGTGGTTGCTGAGCTATTTTTGAAAGCCTGTCTGCCTGCACGAAACATACTTGTTAGCACTCAGTTGCTTATCTACCTAGTATATGGTTAGTTATGTGACATACAAAACCAAATGCAGTATTCATCTTCCACAATTAAATAAATATTATAAGTAAATACTTAATAATCAAACCAGTAAGAAACAAAATAAAAATAACCAAGGAAAACAGACACAATCAATTCAGAGTTTAAAATCTTGTAAAAGAAATCACAAAGGTTGCAGTTTTGCAAAATATATGAACAGATACTCAATCCTGTCCCTGTTCAGGAAATCATGCTAAGCAGGTACCTTTAACTCACTGATTCCAATCAAATTTACACTTCATGAGTTTGAAAGACAAGAAAGCAAATATAAGGGAGGTTAAAGTTGGCAGACAAGTAGAGAAAGTAGGAAAAAACAAACAAGAAAAAGAAAACATGCACAAAATATCGGTAAATTTCAAAATACGGCAAAAGACATTTGAGCCACTGGACAATTGTTGTTTAGTAAATGTAAAAAAAGCAACATATGATGAAAATACAAAAAAGCGTCAATGCATTCAGTTTGCAAGCTCGTTATTTAGCAGCATAAAAAGATGAGATTCAAGCCTGCAACACCCGTGTTCTGAAAATGTAGTCCACTCAATGAAAACTCTGTAAAATGAGATCATACTCTTAAAAGTCCAGAAGTGTAATCTCAAAAGTGTAAAAGTGATTACACTCTTTACAATGAGATTGTAAGTTTTAGAAAAGATTTTTGGAGATCTGTTGGTGAAAAAGGACTGCATCAGAAAGAGATTTTCAGAGTGCTCTTTCACAACAACTTCCTAATTTTTTGACTGCCTCTTTACAAAAACCCTGATTTCTTGGCAAAGAAATGACAGAAGATTCCAGCTTTTAGGCATACATTGCAACATAACCAAGGATGAAAGAGAGGAACATGTTAATTTTAAAACAAATTCAAGAGTGCATATACAAAACATGGATATTAAGAAAGATGCTACATTCCAGGGCTGGAACAGACTTCAAGCGATTATGTCACTAATGCCTTTCCCCTAAGACAGGTTTTAATGTAAGCCTGGAAGAGAATGAGAAGAACTGAATTATGATCCAGGATTTTCGGTCAAGTGCAAAGATGAAGCATCTGACCTGAAAAGCCACAGCTCACTTAGGGAAATTCCCACTGATCATCCTAGACTGCTACCACTTCACAAACATAATTGTAATTAATAAGTTCAGATTCATAAATTAAGCACTTCTAGATGAATCACAACACCTATGGCATGGCTTTTTATGCATGCTGAAGGCTATCACAGCTATTCCATGTCTGAACCACTGAGAAAAACTGAATAAAACATGACTAAGATTCCCATGTCTTCACTTACATCTCAGCCTAACTTTTAAGAACTATGGCCATCATTCTGTGCTAATTAATATTATTTAAAACCAAGTTTCAGCAAAGTACAATTTCAAAAGCTTCAAGATTGGAGTTCAGTTAAAAAACAGCAGAGACTTTGGCTCAAGTTATTTGAATTCTCATTCCTAACTGTGCTACAGATCCCGAATGGGATTTTGTAAACCAATTTATCACACTGCACCTGGATTTCCATCTGTAAAACTTCCAAATTGCATGGTAAAGGACTTCAGAATATTATCTAGAGTGCTGGATATATGCACAGCAGCTCTTCACAACATTACTGTGAAGATCTTATATTAGGTGCTTTTAGGCTGATCTACAGTATAAGTCAAGACTTCTATCTTTTTTCTAATTCCTTAAGAAAAAAGAAGAAAAACAGAAGATGGTTTCCTGTTCTGCCAAAAGGAAGAGAGGGTGGGTGCAAGGCTAACATACAAAACATGCCCAGGTTCACCACTCTTCCTGTTTGTCTCTGCAGTTACATGACAGATGACTCTTAGCTACTTGCAGTTTTGCTAATAATTTGAATGTTGGCAACCACTTTCTTGCATGGTCTGGGGAAGAACAGTGTCTCACTCCGGAGTAATGCCTGAGCACCAATACTGCTGCCCGAGGGCTACAGGCAGGAAGGGCAGCTGTTGGTCCATGAGAGTGAAAGTGACTTATCTACAAAGAGGTTTTTATACTTTACATTTACAAACCATATTTAGGCTTCTAAATTCAAAACATAAACCTAACTTTTCAAGAATTTTGGTGGGAGTTTAGCAGCCTTATATTTTTTCACCTCCTTCCAGAACTACTGACAAACACAAAAAGTGGGAAAAACAAATTATAGGCAACAGTTTCATGCCTTCTGATTTTCTTCTTTCTTTTGCTCAGAATCATAGCAACCTTGATGTCTGAAAGTCATAGACAGGGAACAAATATGAAACACTTGATAGAATTTTCCAGGTGGAATTGAGTTTTTTCACAGCTTTGACATGTTAGAATCTTTTAACTCTCAGAGATCTTGCTGGTTGCCAGAAATCAATGAAACCTATAGCCTCATTCACTAAAAACCAGAAAAATGAGATGTAGCATACGAGAGAAGGTAATACAGAACCAGTTGCTTGAATCCACCACAGTACCATATGCTGCAAATAGTTCCAGACAGGATGTCTGCCGGCAGCAGAGTGTACACATCAGCTTCTTTTCTTCAAAGCTCCACAGCAACAGCAATACAACGTAGCAGAACTAAGGGTTAGCAGCTCTGTAATTTCACTACAACTCAGACCTCTGCTCAGCACTATGTTGTATTCTCTATGTGCTCTACTTTTAAAGCACATTCATTTCTGCGTAATCATTTTATACTATTTTATGTTTTAATTCAAGCAGAAAAATTAGATGCAGGTTATGAGAAACCAGATGACTTGTGCAGAAGGTGAAATAAAACTACTGGAACCGGGCATTATGTCATAAAAGCTTGGCATTAATAGGCTTGGCTGCAGTAACATGGGGTCAAATTTGACCACCTTACAATGCTGAGCGCCTTACTTTGCCTGTGAACCTACTGCTGTAATAAGGCTGTCTGAAGAATGATGGACTGTTTCCCACGTGTGTGACAGCATTTGATGGATACACATTCACCTTGAATGCCATGTAAGAAACATAAATGAACAGACCTAAGGCAAAGTTCCTAAATTCCAGTTACTTACAAGGCAGCTCACAACAAGAAATATTTAGCACATACTCTGACATAAGCAAATAAGAGCCAGCATTGCATCTTCACAACAGAGAGGGCAATATTTTTACAGTTTTTGTCCCTCTGCTTTCCAAGTGAAATATCCCTTCTGTAGTTTCTTCACAACAGTGAATTGTGTAAGACCACTCCAAGGACACACAGGAGAGACTGATGCAAAGAAAAATTCTGATTAGGTAAACAGAAAGTCTCTTTCCTCTTTTGTTTTATTGTTTTTAATTCTTACCATTAAGCTGTTACCTTTTTCATTTTGCTTACTCAAAAGTTTTTAAATTAATGCTTAATATCAGCTCAAGCTACTAAAGATAGGTTTAGGAAAGGCTTAAAGTGAAAACCTTCAAATTTTGAAGTTCATCATCTAACTAAAAGTATGGTGTTCCTAATAGCATTCAGGGAGCTTTTGCACACTCAAAGGCCATCTAGTGACTAAAGTTAAAAGTCATACACTTTTAACATGGCAATATTCAAGTCATACTACCCATCAAACAATGGCACAGGTATTTCTACGCAACAGACTTCTCCATTAATACTAAAGAACAGAAAGCATCCAAAGTATGAAAGTATGGCATAGTTTGAAAATAAACATAATTTTTTTGGAAGTAAGGACTCTATTCAGAATGGTATCAGCAGAAATTCCTGGTGCATACTACACTCAGAACCTTCTCTTCCATGTCCTACTCAGTTGAACCTTGAATGTAACACAAATCTACTTCCTGCTGCTGGGCATTCACAGGAATGTCTGTGTTAGGTAGTCTCAGCATCACCAGGAATCACGAGTCAGGTGTTTTGGGGTATGATCCAGCAGATGTGCACAAGCTAGCTTCACATGGAACCTTTCTCAATTCAGAAAAATGGAAAGGTGCCTGCTGAGTTCCTAAAATTTGGTTGTGCAATTAGTCTAGCAAGATTAACAGCAGGAGAGATACTCTGATTTCCATCCCAGCCTAGGTCAGAGCCTACTGATCATGAAGAGTTCATTATACCATGACAGTATATTGCACTGGTGTTACCACAGGCAGCTTTTACTTCCCAGGATGGGCACACCAGGGGTAGCTTTTGGTCTGATGATCAATTAATGTCAACTCCTTATGACAATTCTGTATAAGATGGATGGCAGGGTCACTTGGACCACAGAGCAATTCCTGGATGACAACCCCCCCCCCCAAATCAACATTTCTGTTGAAAAGCATGAGGGTGGTCTTTCCTGAAGCTATAACATTAATGTGATACAATAAATAATCAAGCCTTAATGTTCTATGACAAATTCATACTTAATCAAAACAGGCTGCATTTCAGCTTACTGTGAGACAAGTAGATGGATAAAATCTGTTATGCCGTCATCTCAGTAGACATCTCTCTGGTCATTTTGTATTAGTTTCCTTGAGTATTTTTATATATCTATTCTGGATGGTCCTTTAGATTTTTACAGACCTAAACTGACCACTTGAGGGAGTTACCACTGTAGGCCATTTACTATTGACCCAATTATTAAAAAGGACTCTCAAAGTTCAGCCCCGAATCTGAAACCCCGTGGTGCTTCTTGTGTTAACAGACTTCATTCAAGTTATTAAAAAGAATTTTTCCATTCCTTTCATCAAGATCAGATTTTTAACTGTTTTTTCCCCCTTCTCCAAGTAGCAAGAACTCAAGAGGCAGTATCAAAATCATGCTAATAAACAAAACATGCTGTGCAGTGCTTGTACAGCAAGACTTTGAAGTTTGCACGTGGTTAAGTGGGATTAAGTCTACACTGGCATTGTCAATGTCTTCAAAATATACTGCACCAGCACAACCACTGTTCGGATAGAAATGAAACCAAAAATATGTACATTATTCATAAGACAGATGGTGGAGGCAGCTGAACAATATACTGCATGCTCCAAAATTCTAATTATTTATTAAAATGGTCCACAAGAAAAAAAAACCCACAGAGGTGAACTGCCCAGTGTGCTTGGCATGTCCCAAGATGAAAACAATCATCTGCTGAACTTGCAGGACACAACAAATGACAGCTCTACTACATATGTGAAGGCAAAAAAATGGAAATAAGATAGAAATGTGTCATCTATCTCCTTTTGGCTATGCTCATAATCAGATTGGGATATTCTTAAAAAGAGGAGATAATAGATTCTGATTTCTAGTTTACTGGTAAAAGGCTGGAGACACCCACAATCCAAGGAAACATCTACAACTCATTTCAGAAAATGAGAGAGGGACTGCTTGGGCTAATAAAATATGTAGAAGGTAGAAACAATCCAGGGACGTTGTACATATACAAAGGGATATGACAGGTTCAAGAGCTTCAGCTTACACTGTTAAAGACAAAATAGATCAATCACTTTTTTCTCACCAGACAGAACATTCTGATAGAATATTTATGCGGTCCTAAAAGATAGGTCAAGGTTTTGCTCTTGGAATGATGCAGTGCTCATGTGAATTTGGTAAAATACTGTGGTAAATAATTAGGTTGGCATGTATGCTAAATGAACCAGTTCATCAGGGAGAATCTTACCTTTCAATCTCCTCAGATACTGGAACTTCAGTAAATTTCGTAAGCATGTTTTCTTTAAAAATGAACTACTTCTCTTACTGTAATACTTCTCTCATTCAGTTCTTCATAACACAGGGCAACTTAACATCAGGTCTGAATTTCTCTCTTGGTCTCTCCCTGCAAGCGACTCTCACCGTCCATGTCTATATTTCTTTGAAAGAGTAAAATTCAAGAAACCATGAAAGGATTTTCTATCTACCTATAGCATTTTTCTTCCACCCTGCAGAGGTACCTGTCTCTCCCACTGTATGCCTGACTGTGCCCAGTAACACACATGTCCACTGGATTTGCCTGAGCAACTCAGCTGCCTCATGGCCTGGAAAAATAGATGTTAGCTTCCAGCAGGGGTAAGAAGTCATCTCTGCTCCTTATCAGACTTGTCAAACAACCTGGTTCATTCTGCAATCCCCATTGCAAATTGGATATGGGGGCTTTGTCACCAGGTTCCCAGCTACAAATATACCTGCATAGTTAAATTCTGTGGTCCTCTCAAACACTGTAAAGAAAACTTTAGACCACAGAGAAAAGATTAGAAAATTCAGTTGTCATATGAGTGAGAGAAGGGGACTCTACAGGCAAACACTGTCAAGACCTTGTCTTCTAGCATTGAGCACATTCCCTATACTCAGAATACATGAAGGATAGTTCTTCAGCTGTCTCTTTCTCTGGCAGGTTATGATTCTCCAGTCTTAGAACGACCTTCATTGTCAGTTTCTTGCATTTGCTTTGCTGTTACAGAGTTTCCCTGAGTTTGCTTTTCTCAGCAGGTGCAAGTGCCTGCTAGGGAAGTTCAAAGTTGTTGACTGCCAAAGCCATAGCACTACATCTTCTCACAACAGAGAAGCTCCTGTCTGCTGCAGATGTTTTATAAACCGCAGCTCATCCGTATCAAAGACTGCTTCTGTCTCCTTTTTTTACATTCATCCTAGACACAGTGGAGAAAGTGACTGTAGAATTTGCTTGCAAAATGCCTGACTGATCTCTCTTTCAGCACAACTTCCCCAAACAACTTAGCTGTGGAATGGCTTGGGACTTACATCTAGAAAGATTAGCAACTTACATCACATGAAGTGCCTGCAGGTTGGTAGTTGGGCCCTGAATTATGTAGCTAAAATCTGGAATTCATTTATGCAGTCTCATTAAAAATAGTAGCTAAAAACTAATCTACTTTTTATATCTATATTTACTCATTTGTAGTTAATATCTCAGCATCACAGGAAAACCAGTAAATGCATACTATGTTTGGAAGAACACTTACACAACTGTCCTTAAGAAATTTATACTGGACTATGCCTGTTTCAAGGTTTGTCCAAGGGTTAAATTTGACTTTTTCTGACAGTTTGAGTGGAGTCAGCATTTCACTCTAATAGTGAACTTTATAAAAAAAAAAAAAGTCACCAGAAAGCCAACAGACAGTTTCTATCTGTTTTCTGGAACTACTCTCCATTTCAGACCACTTTCTTGGCTGTAACCTGGATTACTGACTTGATGACATCCAGTTTCAGATTTTGTCTGTGTTCATTTCAGATGTGTCCCTATCTGACAGAGTATATCTCTGTCTCGGTCTGCTTTTATCTGCATTGGAATACTTAATGGTCAGATAGAACTGCATATCTCAAATATTCTTTCCCCTTCACTTTTGCAGAAAAAAACAACTGAACAGTTCTGACTGATGTCTGAGGTCTAATTTCATATGTTAATGAAGAATACAGTAACTGAGAAATAAGAGTGAAAATTACATGGGATGGGCAAGAAAAAAAAAAGACAAATCATGTAGCCTATTTTTTATTCTTTGTGGTTTCTTAGGTTCTTTAGGGTTCTGTTATATGACTGCAGAAAACATAATGAAATTTAAAATGCAAAGTTTGAAGACAGAAACAAGGAACCAAAACCACTGTCTGAATTTACGACACTTAGAGATTTTTTTGGTGACAGTAATACATATAAAGCATCTCTAACTGTGCAGTAAGTAACTGCACTACTGCATAATAAAATGGAACAAGGAGCTTATTTACATTTCTTTACCATGTTCTAAGAAATGTTTCCTCTCATCTATGAGCACATAGTATGAAACACCATAAAATTTTGTTCTAGCTGTAATGAGCATCTCTCTATGAAAATCACTGAAATTGACTTCAATTATATTGCTTATTGCTGATTATGTCTATCTTTAGAAGCCCTGGGCAGATATTTCTGCTTTCCACAATTTTTATAAGACAATTCTGAAACCATCAACCCAATTTTGCTTCATGTTATAAGTGGTAAATTTCCATTTTGATGCTGTAATCAATATGAAATGATCAGACTCAACCAGACTCAATGTGTAAGACATTGATATAAAATAAGAGAGTAATATGTACTTTGACTAACATGTGATGGCAGTCCTGAAGAACTTCTGTTCTCTGATCAGCTAGGCACTGGAATAGGTCTTTAAATGTGCTGCACTGCAAGTTGTCAGGAATACAAAGAGGCACAGAAATATCCAGGGGATTTCCCAACTCTGGATTGACTTATTATTTTGGTTTGTAGAAAAGTAGGTGCTCATTAGAACTATGGTATGTAGCTTCACAATTTACATAAATAGATTTTTAAAAAACATTAATTACCTTCAAAGATTTTTTTCTTTTTTAGCATTTGAATTCCCATTGGAATTTGCTGACTAGTACTTCTTTGCTACAGCAGGGACAATGAAACATATAAACACTACTGCAGTTTTTATATCCAGTTCAAATATCGAGGGCAAATATGTTTTATAAACTTGTTCCTTTAGGACCCTGGAGAATGGAGTTCAGAAACTCATTTTATTTATTTGTCAAGCATCACCAATTTCTTTGGTGTTTAAGAAATAAAAATAGTAATTTGCTTTACCTCTGAATCATGTCCTGACTCCCACTATCTGTTCTGGCTGGTTTCCTCCTGGAGGCCTCCTGTGGGGACCACTGGTGAGGTTTCATATCACTGTAGTCTACCAGGGATTCAATAGCTCTTCCAACACTGGGCTGCTGTTCAGCATCTGCTATTGGACTCACAGAACCTGAGCAGGGACCTATTAAGGGTATAACATCCTGGTGTGGGAATAAAGGGTAATTCACCCCTACAGGAGAGGTGAGTAGATAAAATTTAGGGAAAGAATTACTGTTTTTCTCTTCAAAGCTGGAAAAGCCATGACTGCTCTCAAGACCCCTCGCAACAGGCATGTACATCTTCCTTAACACCCTTGGATGCTGTTAGTGATCATCTTGTGAACTGGTTCAACGGGTAAGGCAGACTTTTCAAAGGCACTTGTTGGCCTTTCAGGTCCATCAGAAAATAGTCATTCTCTTCTATCATCCTTCTGTGGCAGTAAACTTAAAAGATGCAACTTGCCCCTGTTTCTTCAAGTTTCTGAAGTTCCAGCTAACAAATTGCTGTAAAACTAGAGGTCATTCTCCAGAATATCAGTGCATAGAAAAGCATGGCAGTCATTTAAGTACTGAATTCTTTCCTGAAAAGAGATTTATCAAGTATGGTACAAAAAGAACAGAGCCATTGAATGCACAGAATTTTTCTGTTTCTCGGTAATGATGGAAAACACCTCACAATGAAATGTCTCCTGGGGTGAAACATGGTTCATGAGTACCACTGTAACCCAGTCCTTCAAGGGACACACATAGCAACTTGCAATGGCACTAAAAATTACTGATTCATTTAGCAGAGACAAAATGAAGAAGTTTTCAATTTCACTGGCAATTACATGGTGTTTTCATTGAAGAATTTTAAAATAAACTATTCTGTTGCTATAGAAATCACAAACGAATTAAATTGAAGCACAGATTTAACACAAAAAATGTATCAAATACAAGCACAGACAAATGCAAATCCATAAAACTTACAATTATTACTTGGAATAAGTAAAACACATTAACATCAGAGTTTTCCATGCAGCTCACTTACCTCCAGAGCTTTGCCAGTTGTTCTATCAGTAGACTAGTCCATTAATGTCTCAGCTCAGAATAAGCAGCACTCATTTCCTGATTCCAAGGTTGACAGTACGCATCTAGAACTCTAAACAAAAGCAGTCTGATTTATAAAGGTCCTCTCCGAATGAATTCAGTGCCAACTGCAAAGGTCTGGCTCTTCAGAAAAATCAAACTATGTTTATTTGGACAGCTTAATTCAGACTATGGGGTCCTTTATTTTATGGCCTTGTCAGGAGAAATTGGGGCAGAGAGTCTGATAATTCCTTCATTTATGTTAGTCTCACACAGATGTAATTTCTCTGAAATCCTAACTTGCTGCTGATTAATACAAAATTAGAAATAAGCCTAAAATTTATTACAGTACAGGTTTATAGTAATAAAAAGATGTGTTCTGTAATGCAGAATCATGGTGGGTCTTTTTTTTTGAGTAGTTTGTTGATGGAGCAGAATAAAGAAATAAATAAACACACCTTCCTTCTTTATCAAGGTTGGTTTCATATATAGATCACAAGAACTAAACTGTGTAAAAAGTGACAGCTGAGGATATTTTATTTGCCGTATGGGCAGTGTAAGGCTAAGCCAACACTCTGAAGACACAGAACTCCATCTGATACATCCTGCTTTCTATCACAGTTGTACATTCATCTGAGTGAAATGAAACTTTCAAAATTTGACTTCTGTCAGTAACAAGCCTTTAAAATGCCATACTGGTTTCTATATTTACTGATACTCTGTAATCTCCATACCAAATATAATCAATTTTACACTAGAAATTACATTCAGTGTTGCAGATTGACTTTTTCCTCCATACCTTCTTACCTCCTCCTGGAAAGCTTTAGAAAGAGATGACAGGAGAGGTAAAGACATGGGAACCAGGTAAAGCATAGGATGGAAGACATTGCAAGGATGACTCATTTTTTGTTGCATTCATTTTGTAGAGTGAAACGCAATTTAAACTTTACGTTAGATTTTGTTTACAGGGATTCTGTCCAGTTTATCCTGGGAAGTAAATTTGCCAAGGAAGGCTGAATTACTTCTGCTGTCAACATTCTGAAGTGATCTGTGCTTTTAAAGAAGCACATGGATGAACTGATCACGTGTCCGAGCTAGTCCTCTTTGCTAGATGTCTGCCTTTTACTTTGTTTTAGGATTTCTGTGGAGCAGTCTTTTTTCTTCTTTGACAAGAAACAGCTAGTTTCCCTCTCTGGCACAGTAACAACATACCAAATCTTTCAATAAAGTGACGTTTTCCTGTCAGACTTTATTTACTTCCCAGAAAATTCCTTGCGTCTCCCCCCCTCCTTCAAAAAACTACGCATTAAATACTCGTATGCCACAGGAACATGCAAGTGTCTTGGGATTCCAGACACTTCAATTGCTCTCTTGCAGAAGCGCAATGTAGATGGAGCAGCAGAGCTGTAGGTGCTCATGACAGTGACTGGATCAGTGAAGTTCTTTGGCTCTGCAGTGGCAACTTCCTTGGTTGCTTTTTTTTAGGAACAACTGCCAGGAGTAGAAGGCCAGTTCCTTATGTCTCTGGTCGGGTGCACTCCGCACTGCCACAGGCCTGGTTGTTTCAAAAGAGCTGCCCCTGGAGCGGTGATGGATTGGGATTAAGTAATTTATCTCAGTGACGGGATGATTTTGGATGGCGCTGCGGCGCCAGCAGCAGCAGATGTTTCCCTGGGGTTTGAGGATGTGAAAGCCTCCCCTCCCCTGCCTTCCCTTCCCCGCTTTCGCCAGAAATGCAGAGCTTGGCACTGCGGCTTGGAAAGCCCCACCGCCGCCTTCCCCACTGCAGATCCACGGCTGGGAACGATGCGCCCTGAAGGGCCTGGCGGGGCACGGGGCCTCTTCCCTCTCCTTGGGCTGCTCCTCCTCTTCCTGTATCACCTTATCCTTCTGCTGCCCATCTTGCCCAGACAACCAACCCAGGTACCATCCTGGGTGATGAGGTGCCGGGCCAGGGGTTCGAACCATAGGCCGCCCCTTCCCGGCTGAGTCCAACCATTAGCCCAGCACTGCCGAGCCCACCACTAACCCGTGGCCCTTCAGTGCCGCATCTACACGTGTTTTGAACACTTCGAGGGATAGTGACTCCACTATTTCCCTGACAGCCTGTTCCAACGCCTGACCAGCCTTTCAGTGAAGCCATTTTTCCTAATATCCAGTCTAAACCTCCCCTGGTGCAGCTTGAGGCCATTTCCTCTGGTCCTGTCACATGTTACTTAGGAGAACTCTCTTTGCAGCCTGGTAATTTTAAGGTTGTGTTGCTGTCTAAGACATGCTTTTTCATAACACAGGAGCTCTGCCCTTTAGTGTCCAGCTTTACCCCTGCGGGTTTAGTTTTACACCTGCCAGTGCTTTTCCCATGAACATTCACCATATTTACCAGCAGGATCAAACTTCCTTCCCACATATTTGGAGATTAATGCAGGAAAGCTAAAGAATGATCTAATTTGTCTAATTTGACCTTCCCCCTACCCCCCCCCAAAAAAAATGAGCAGTCAGTGCTGTGGGGAGGGGTTTTTCTCCTCCCTATGTATCAAAGAACCTGTGTGACTAGGTGGGCATAACACCACAGGTGAGTTGCGTGGACGGTGAGTAGCTGGTAATGTTGGTACCCAGCTGAAGCAGCTGCATCACTTGGTCAAAGGCTCTGAGGTACAGAAATAATTATGTGTTAGGATACCAAGACTGTACATTTCTGGTGTTCTAGTGCTGATTTTGTACCCACTGTGTGTATACTTGCAGCTGTCAGCAGCCACGGATGGGGAAATTCCATCATACAGCCTCCTGAGACTGGGAAGGGCCTGAAATGACAGTCTCTGCTTCCTACTGAGGTTTTGAAATTTGAACATGGTTAGTTGCTTAGGCTTTCTGATACTCTTAAACTAGGTTATTTAATTTGTACATTAGTATGCATATGTGCCAGATTTTATTCTATGGCTTGGTTGTGATTGAGTTTCACCAATTCCTTTAGAAAGTCAAGGTCTTTTCCAGGAGCGAGATCAGAGGTGAAGTTCAAAGTTCTTCTACTCCCTAACAAAAAAGGGAAAACCATATGCAATATTTCAGCATATATTCCCTGAAATGTCATAATATTCTTCTGTATCTGATTTTAGTAGGCATAGTAGACATTGTCAGCTTCAGAAGAGACACTTCAATTAATAACACTTTGATGTTATTAATATAATATTATTTCAAACTGATATAAAAAACATGATTTTTTTTTTTTAATTTTTACTCACTAATGCTGACAGTTCTGGTGTATGTGTTTTTCCTTAAGTGAATAATTAAATTTTTTGAGGACAATGTGGAGCATGTTTCTTAAAATGCTTTGATTATATCTAAGTTTTCTGAGTCATCTTATTGAAAATATACAACCCTGTAAACTTAAGCATGCAATATGATAAGCAAAAAAGTCTCCTTTTTAACTTGTGAAATGCATTAGTGGTATAATTGTCAGAAAGAAAATATGAAGGCCCACTTGAAATCATAATATAGTTCATATCTTGCAGGCTTTCTGTCAAAAAGGTTATACTTAACTGAGACAGACTGAAGTTCAGTTTCTCCTATATGACTTTAATATGACTAGTAACAGAAATGGTAATATTTGTGCACACAACATCAGTAGGCAGCTTAAAAATGCCAGCTGTAATTAAAACACTGCTTGACTATTAGCATGATTGAACAAAAATAACTTAAGTAAGTAGAATCGTTATTTATATAACCCTCTGGTGCAGAAATCTCTTTATGAAAATTATCTCAAAACATAATTACTTTGAAAAAACTTTTAGCAGTTACCATAACTTAAATATTTTCCTATCACTTTATAGAATTTTCATTTCTAAATAAATGGATTGGAATTATGCCAGCTGAACATTAAAATAATACAGAATTTTATTAATTAATGAATTGATTGTTTAATTATTTAAGGCTCATTTTAAACTGTTTCCTGCCAATGCAATTTTCTGACTGAATTTAATTCTTTGATAAGTTATTGTGAAGATGATTGATTTTTGCAACGTAATGCTCATTTGAAGGCTAAAAGATTCAGGATAAAATATTTTATGAAATCGTAGAATATACCTGATGAGAAAACTTGTTGGGGCTGTTTTTCCGTGCAGGTACAACCCACCTGCTATTGTCTCTTCCCACTATGCAGAACCTAAAATATATGAGCTCAATTTCTCTGTGTTTAAATATAATCTGCACAGCTGTCCAAGTAGATTTTAAATGCATTGAACAGGATGTCAGCATTTTACACTTAAATTTAACTCACTTTTTGGCCTGTTTCAGTGGCATAAATTGGTAGTAAAGCTGTTTAATCGAACTCAGTCTGATTTCAAAGTTGCCCAATGAATCCTCAAGTAACAGATACTTTATATGGCAAATGTACTGTTTGGGGTACATTCCAGTCTTTAGGAATGGCTCTTCAGGCAGCTGGGAGGTTTGAACTACCCTGGACTTGGGGGTGAATTACTCCAAACTTCCGTGTGTCTGATGGGGATGTAAACTATTTTTCTTCATCTGTGTTCTTCTGCAAAAGGAACTGTTGCTTACACCTTGTATAATGCCCGTAGGAAGTACAAGACGATGAGGAATCAGACCCTATATATTTTTAGTGTATTTGGCTGCTTAAAAAACCTAATTTTGGGAATTAATCCAGAAACTCATTTATTTTGCTAAAAAATGACTGAAACAAGACTTTTCGCAGTGCTTGTTAGGTACAGGTTCACATTGAAGGGAAGGAATAATATAATTAATGACTTTAAAATGTGGTTTAAGCAGTTCCCTTTCATTTATTTTTTGTTGCTCTTTCTGTGGGACTTAATGACCTCTTGATCCTTTTTTTTTTTCCTGTGGAAAGGATCTTTTTAACCTGGTCACATGCACTCTTAAAACACAGACTGAGAATGGGAAGATCATCTGTCCTAAGCACTGCTGCAGAAAGTACCATTTGAATTCCAAAGGAATTCCAGGGGGAAATCTAAACAAAAAGTTTTGAAAACATTTTGAAAGAGAGTGTCAAACGTTAGGGAAAGAGCGTATAAGAGTTGGGATTCATATGCAGACAGAAACATTTACCGAGTGAAATGGCTGCTATGCAAGTGAAATGTGCATAGACACGACAGAGCATTTAATCTGACTTTCTCACAGTCTAGCATGCAATGTTATTGAAGGTAGTAAGAAAGTAATTCCAGAAGTTTTACATTATCTTTCTTTGGTAACTATATTGCCTTCATGTTTTCTAGTTCTTTTAAAATAAACAGTTCAAGAGCTCCATCTTCGGGTTTAAGCTATTATTGTAAAAGAATATTACTTTCCTTTGGCATTGATTAGGTAGTGCCTAAACGTCCTATAAAGTTATGTATATCTTATGTTACGTTCATACCTTGTCAGTTTGCAGTGCTTAACGTTTCTAGATGCATTTGTTCAGTTGCCTTTTGATAAATTTTGAATACTTTCTTCATAATATTGTTGGTTTTAGTTCTTCTCTCAATAATTTATTTGGTTTTGGTGGATTGTTTTTCCTTTCCAATAATGATACATAAATCAGCTTGACAGTTCATAAAATATTTATGGACCATGACAGATAACAGTGGCAGAAGGAATTTTAAAAGAGGATGGTTTTCATGTAGGCTTTATTATTTGGTAGAAATTAGCATGCTTTTATTAAAATCAGAGCTTGTGCTGATTTTTGTCAAAGGGGAATCTGATCACGCTATTTTGGGAGCAGAATTTTGTTTCTCCCAGTGCAGCAGAATTCTAAAAGACTTAAATATTCCAGTGAGAAATTTTTAATCCATTTTGTTTTTCAGTAAAAAACCTCCAATCATTCCAGGAGATCTTTGGAGAAAATA